CATGTAAATAATTATAAAACCAATTACAGTTAAACAGTAAATACCCACATCGGATTAAGAATGTAAAATAATGTAATCTTGTAACATTCTGTGCCTGAGTGCAAAAACACTGCACTACATAAAACAATTTAGAAATTTCATAAGTTATTACACTCCACTTAATGTCTCTTTTCATTTGTACAATGAAAATAACAGGCACACTCTTTTCTCTACGCATAAACACTCACCCGCACATGCGCGGCATAAACACGCACGCGCGCACGCGCATTATAAACACGCACGCGCATGCGCGCAGCTTTTCCTTTCATCAGAACGTGAAAAACATGTGAACTCATGCTTCAACTCGGTGGCAATACACCACAAGGGAATGCTAACTCACAGAGCTAACCCTAACTGTCTGTACTTTGCAGGACTCACCGGGAAAAGAAAAGATTCAGAAAACTGGTAAGGTCCCAGGGTCGTTCCTCCGTGGTTGTCCAGATGCATAAAAGCACAATGTCCGCCAATCTTCTCAAACACGAGGGAAAAAGGCTGTGCACTTGAAGAAAGGGATAGGAAACCCCGTACCGTAGTGGGCGTGTCCATGAACATAAGCAGTGCGCATGCCCATGAGTTTACAGTTGAGGGAACTCAAAAAATCTTGTATAGGCGATTTAAAACTCCTTGTTAAACCAACTTCTGAGAATTTGAGTTGGGCAAACGTGTATTTATATGTTAGATGTCAAATTTATATTTCTGAGTCGGATTACAATACAATTGTGTGTTAGAACAACAATTGCCATTTACTTTTTTAACAGTGCAGACCTTGGTTTGAGATTCCAGCTCTTCCTTGAGAGCAGCAGGAGGAGTCCAGATTGAGATGTTCAGGTTTGGCTCCCTTAGGCAGGCAAGCAGGTTTACAGGCAAAGCTCATCCAGAGCTTTAGGCTTAGACAGGTTTCCTGTGAGCAAGAAGACAGAGGCAGATTAGAATCAGGTTTCTCTCCAGAGACAACTAAGATTCTATCAGAATAACAGAGGCTCAGGTTCGCTAACCAAACTTGGTCAACACTGCGGCGTTGAAGGAAGGTCTGGCTGCTGCTTATGTAGGAAAGTCTCCTGATGGGCTGATGAGCGTCAGGTGTGCTGGAGGACTCCAGCCCAGGAGACCCACAGCGCACTCTGCTGGAGAAAGGTGGTGAATCTCCAGATCCCAACAAGAACCTTACAACACCGGGCAGAACATGTCCCTACTAAAACAGATGGGAAGCACAAAGAACAGAAAAACATCAAAGATGCTCTCCAAAACTGTGGATATCCAAACTGGGCTTTTATCAAATCAGCAAGGAAATCCAAAAGACACGCAACAGAAGACAGCGATGGGAAAATTAAACGCAAAAACATCACAATCCCTTATGTTGCTTGAGTGTCTGAAAAGCTCAAGAGGATTTTCTCCAAACACAAGATCCCAGTACATTTCAAGCCAAACCAAACCCTTAAACAGAGGCTAGTGCATCCTAAAGATAAAACCCCCAGACCGAATATGAGCGGAGTGGTATATGCTGTTCAGTGCAGCGAGGAATGCTCTGATCTTTATATTGGCGAAACAAAACAACCTCTCCACAGACGCATGGCCCAACACAAAAGAGCGGCCTCCTCTGGACAAGACTCCACAGTACACCTACACCTTATGGACAAAGGACATTCTTTGGAGGACCAGAATGTCCATATTCTGGATAAAGAAAATAGGTGGTTTGAGAGGGGCGTGAAGGAAGCCATCTATGTTAAGAGAGAAAAACAGGTGGTGGACTCAGATTCCAGCTTCCAAAAACATACAATTCAATCATAGACATGATCCCTTCCAGATATCACCAAACCCCCCACCCCATCACAGAGGAACGAGGGACCCACCCGCTCCAGCCGGTGAACAATACCTCCTTAACGACCGACTCTTAACAATCATAGACAGGTTTCAGGTATTACAGGACACAATCCCCCCTTAACGGCAACCCCCCCCCCCCCTTTAATGACCGACCCCTAGAATCATAGACAGGTTCAGATATTACAGGCTAACAATGGAACTAAACGACCCATTCATCGGTTACCATTTGCATGTTTCCAAGCAATACAAGGCCTTGTCCATATAAGACTCAACTCACTGCAGATCCAGACATTTGAATTGAGAAAGCTTCCTGGAGAGGTGGAGAAACATCTTCAAATCTTGAAAACCAAGTCCAGTGGATATTTTTTGAATTTTTACGGAATTTTATTATTAGTATTATTATTATTTTTTCATTTTTAGGATCAGACAATGAGTTAATTATCTTCCATCTCTCACTGTGTTGGTAGAGAAGCAATTAAATAAACTGACTCAGTCTAGTTTTGTTCTAAATGATAATTTCAGACAGGATGATATAAACTGAACTGAACCTCAGTCCTTGATGAGCAGCTGAATATTTTAGAGCTCTGATATTTACAGCATTAAAGCTGCAAATATCATTAAAATGAAAATAGAACTTGAATCATAATGAACATGTAAATGAAAAACCTCCTAAAGGGGGAATAGATGGAGAATGTCCTGCTTCCCAGAATCTGATCCATTATCTGCAGTGTTTTCCAGCCTCCTGTCTTCATTCATGTCTCTATCAGGGTTTTTCTATAACCTAACTGGGCTCCAGATGGACACATTCTGTTCTCTGTTTTCTTGCTTTGTTGCAGCTGTTACATCATGTCTTTATCAATATAGTTTCATATCAATATAGATCATATTCTATGATTCAGTTTCATAGAAGTAATCATTAAATTCAGCAAAAGACTAGGAATCCCAACTCCTTAACTTTAAGATTTTAGGGGATTTAATAACAAAAATAAATAGAATAGAATTATATAAGTAAAATTAACAACTAATGGAAATTACTGAACATCAACTAAGAATCAGAATCAGAATCAGAAATACTTTAATAATCCCAGAGGGAAATTACTTTTGTTACACGCTCTAGTTACAGTTTTACATGATATAAACACACATCCAACTATACAATATAATAAAGATAAAAAATAAGAATAAAAAGATAAAATATATATACACATATAGCTCTTCTGTACATATATCTGTATGTATATCTATGTATATGTAAAAACTAAATCCAAATAAAGTGAAAAGTCCAATTAAAGTGAATAAATCCAAGTAAAGTGATACGTGGCGTGCAAAAATAGTGCATAAATGTCAATTATGGACGGGGGGGGTCTGAATCACTTGAGGGAGGCGTTATATAGGTTGATGACCACAGGTAGGAATGATTTCCTGTGGCGCTCTGTGGAGCATCTGGGAAGGAGGAGTCTTCTGCTGAAGGAGCTGGTCTGCTGGACCAGTGTGTTGTGGAGAGGATGTAAATCATTGTCTAAGATGGACTGAAACCTGGACAGCATCCTCCTCTCTGCCACGGTGGTCAGGGTGTCCAGCTGCTCCCCCACAACATCACCGGCCCTCTTGATCAGTTTGTTCAGTCTGTTGTTTTCAGCGACCCTCAGCCCACTGCCCCAGCATGTGACAGCAAAGAAGAGCGTGCTAGCAACAACAGACTCATAAAAAATCCTCAGCATCGTCCCACAGATGTTAAAGGACTTCAGCCTCCTCAGGAAGAATAGTCGGCTTTGGCCCTTTTTGTAGACCGCCTCAGTGTTTCTAGTCCAGTCCAACTTATTGTTAAAGTACACTCCCAGGTACTTATACTCCTCCACAGTGTCAACAGGAACCCCCTGGATGGAAACAGGGGTCACAGGTGTTTTTGTCCTCCTCAGATCCACTATGAGCTCCTTAGTCTTTGTCACATTGAGCTGCAGGTGGTTCAGCTCACTCCAAGTGACAAAGTTGCCCACCACGGTCCTGTATTCACTCTCCTCACCCTTTTCAATGCAGCCAACAATTGCTGAGTCATCAGAAAACTTCTGAAGGTGGCAGGACTCAGAGCAATAGCTGAAGTCTGAGGTGAAAAGGGTGAAGAGGAAGGGGGAGAGGACAGTCCCCTGAGGTGCCCCAGTGTTGCTGACCACCCTGTCAGACACACAGTTCTGTTGGCGTACATACTGTGGTCTGCCCGTCAGGTAATCAACAATCCAGGACACGATGGGGGCCTCCACCTGCATCGCAGTCATCTTCTCACCTAGTAGAGCCGGGCGGATGGTGTTGAAGGCACTGGAGAAATCAAAGAACATGATTCTCACAGTGCTCGCCGGCTTGTCCAGGTGATTGTAGACTCTGTTCAGCAGGAAGATAATGCTGTCCTCAACTCCCAGGCGGGGCTGGTAGGCGAACTGTAGTGGATCAGTGAAGGGCCTGACCATGGGCCTTAGCTGCTCCAGGACAATCCTCTCAAAGGTCTTCATGATATAGGACGTCAGTGCTACCGGTCTGTAGTCCTGAGGGTCGCTAGGGCGCAAAGTCTTTGGCACCGGAACGAGGCAGGACGTCTTCCACAGCACGGGTACTCTCTGGAGGAGCATGCTCAGACTGAAGACTAGGCTAAGTATTCCACACAGCTGGTTGGAACAAGCTTTGAGCACCCAGGGGAGTACACCATCGGGGCCCGCAGCTTTGCCAGAGTGGAGTCTGGTTAGCTGTCTTCTCACTAGGTCAGGAGTGAAGGACACTGTAGAGGTGACTGTAGGGGGACGGGTGAGGTCCTCATGTTCTGTAGGACAGGATGTGAAGCAGGGGGGAGGGGTGGAGACGGTGGATGTGGATTGCGGTGGTGAAGAGCAGACAGGGGGTCTGTATGGAGGAGGACTGGAAGAAGGTGGAGTGGTCAAAGAGAGATAAATACAGAAGGAAATCCAAAATGTAACTACAAATGTTATCCATAAAAGTCAGAACACCTCCCTATGAGTCAAAAGTGAAGGCTCTTTTTCTGTTGTCATGGTTACCGTCCCTCACCTTAACTCCTCCTACCTGCCCAGCCTCCATCTCAGGTGAAGTTCTGACTGCAGTTAAACTGGTTCTACTGGTTCTCCTTTTCTGCCTCTATCTCAGGTGAAGTTCTGACTGCAGGTAAACTGGTTCTACTTGTTCTCCTTTTTTGCCTCCATCTCAGTCTGTTTTCTTCAGACCGTCGTCTGTTCTCTGCTTTGCCTAAAGACACCGTAAGTTTAACTATTTAACTTTATTTCATAGTAAAAGTTTAAGTTTAATAGTTTAACAGTCTGTTTCTGTTTTCTGGGGTTTTTAGAAAACATTCTGCTTTTATTCCAGACCAAAGTTTTAATTTTACTGTGAATGAAGGGAAATCTCCAGGATTACTAGATTATTTTCTGAAACAGTCAACATGAGGAGCAGATGATGTTTGTTCTTCACTTTAAAAATTGCTTATTTTTCAGGTCTTTAGATACAACTTTCAGTTTCTCCTTTAATGACAAACGACAAGCAGAGCAGCTGCTTCCTGTGGAGCCTTTCATAGTAAGATAATCAATTTTATTAAATATTAATTTTATTAAAATATACATTTCCTTGTATTAAACTGTCTGAAGCTTTAATAGAGCATAAAATCCATCTGTTTAGTTTGATAGTTTAGAAACACATCAGGTCCAGATGTTCTGAGTTTCTGATGCACCAAGAAGTATCTTTGCTGCACTAGAAGCTCATTTTTTGCACAGTGGGCTGAAAGGAAAGATGTTAGTAGAGACAGGGAGAGGCATGTGGCAAAGGACCACAGGCCGGATTCAAGGCTCGTCGAGGACTAAGGCCTCCGTGGGTCGTTGGCCCTAACACTGCACCACCGTAGCACGCCCATAATGCAGGAAGAAGTTTGACTGAATATATTTTAACATCATAGTGTTGGAGTCTGAAAATCATTCACATTTATTCCAAACTGTAATTATTTAATTAATTTAAAAATGGTTTAATTTCTGATAAATTTTATCAGTCCTTTGTTTTAGTTTTTAATGTTAGATATACTTTAGTATCACATCTTTATTTCTGTAATAGATGGTAAACAGCTACTGTATCCTACAGGTGGGAATCAGTGAATGTTAATGTAGCTTCATCCTGTGTTCTTGGCTGCAGCTGCAGGTGTGTGAGCTGATGTGAAGTGAGCAGCATGGATCAGTGTGAGGACAGAGAGGACAGAGTCCCTCCCTCTAAAACCACTCTGTGTGGAGAACATGAGGACCAGAGCAAAGCTCAGAGGTCAGATCACCATCTCTAACTGTCCAGGACTCTTCTCCATGTCAGAGCTCAGCATGAACATCAACAAACCATCTTTATTCACAGGAAACCAGCAGAACCAGAACCTGGACCAGAACTAGAACCTGGACCAGAACCAGAACCTGGACCAGAACCCAGCTGTGTGTCTTTACAGAGTAACATGTCAAAGGATGCTTTCTTTGAATTTAAATCAGACCAACCTTCATCAGCAAACAGGTGAGCTGTTTCTAAATGATCCACTAATCAGTTTAACTTCATTCCAACATATTAATGTGAACTCAACTCTTTCTCTCACGTGTTCACATGTGAAGCAGTGAGTGATGGAGGCTAAATAATGGAAATAATCAAAGGATTGTTTTATTGTGATGATATGAAATGATCTTGTTAGATGATATTGGAGCTAAAATCAGTTGTTCTTCCATCCAGTTGAATCTTTCTGGATCACCTTGTGTAACATTAGTGAACCAGAGTTGGTGCTTCTGCAGAGCTTAAGGTGATGCACATGTAGGCAAGTCATGATGCTGATTCAACTATTAGATGGAAAATAAATCTGATGGAAAACATGATCTCTCACTGTTATCTGCAAACATCAGTGAAATCAGCAGCTTCTAAAGTTCATCTGTGTTCATTCAAAATGATCATCAGTCTGATTATTAGCAAACTGCTCCACAGTCTCCTTCAGCAGCCGCTACATGTCATCAGAAATACAAGATCATTGACCTGCTGCTGGGAGGAAGTTTGATGATAATAACACGATCAATCTTTGATAGGAAACTTAGTGGGGATTACTACATTAATGAAAGGTCCTTGAATGCACCACCATGGCCTGTATTACCATAAAAAGCTGAACAGAGGCTCAGAAATGATCAGCTGAGAATAAAGCTGCTGCTCTAAAGGGGTTTGATCATCAGTTTAAGACTAGAACAAGTAAAACAATCAACTAGAAGATAAATGAACTTGTTTCTCCATCAGCAGTTCTGACTCTGATCTAAAGGAAGAAAGTTTATCAGGATAGAAGATCAGAACACATCAAACACTGTTCTACATCCAGACTTTCTGATTATTGTTCAGTTCCTGCTAACAAACCCAAACATAATCCCTTATTAATTATCATCAGAGCTAATTATTAATCCATCATTAATATACGGTTTACAGTGAAACCAGGAATATTTGGATCCACTTCAAACTAGCGCCATTGTGGGGCACGTTAGAGTTCTGGGCTTCACTGTTTAACTTTAAATACATTATAAGACTAAGACTGAATTCAGAGTTTTTCCTTCAGGATCCAACAGAACCTCAAACCAGAACCAGAACCCAGCTGTGTTTCCTTAAAGAGTGACAGGTCAAAGGATGATTATATTGATTTTAAATCAGACCAACCTTCAGCTGCAAAGAGGTGAGCTCTGTCTAAATGTTAGAACTGTTTGAAACTGAAATGACTCATTTTGAAAAGTTCTGATTCCACATTTTTATTCCTTTAATGAAACTGTTTGTTTCTTCTGGATGTTTTTCCACTAATTCAGTCTCCAATGAGTTCAGGGCAAACATTGTTGGAGGTGTTTCTAAGTGTCTGTAGTTCACCTGTTGGTCCAGCAGGGGTCAGGCTGATTTCTGCTGAATTCAGATTAATCATTTTACAGAAATAATCAATGACAGAATAAGATGTTCCCAGTTCAGACCCTAGAGGCTTGTTTTATCCCTGATTTTAAGTTTCTGATAGTTTTCTTAATCAGTTTTAATTCATATGTCGAATCAAACGACTTTAAAAATTCAAGAACTACAATTTTTATCTGACTGTATTTAACTCAAAGATTTAACTGTGACACTTTAAACAAATAGAAATGTTCAAATATTGAGGGACAGTTTTACTGGTGATGAATATAGTAAAAACAAAATTCACCTGTAGAAATACCTAAACTTTATATTTCTTAAAAAAAATTATCCAAGATCTTAAATTTAAGCTAGAATTTTCTTCCATATACATGAAAACAATTTTTAATCGAGGTCAAAGGAACGTCTTGCTGCAGCCTTTTCTTACTGAAGACCAACATTATTTCTGTGCATGAATCCTCCTGCTAGCTTTCTTTAGATGTTGGACCATGTTTATAATGAAACAAACAGATTCATCTCAGGATGTAAACCTTTAACCTTTCTCTGGACTTTGCTCTGTCTGATGAACTTGCCTTCATCAATATTTTCATGAAATAATCAGTTAAGGTTTAATAAATGTGTCTCCAGCTTCCTGTCAGTCATTGAAACAGAGCAGCTGCAGCCTCTGATCACAGACTAGGATTAGATTTACTGATCCTTCAGTAGAGATAGGTTTAGGGATGGGAAACGTTGGTAAGAAGACATTTCTCTAAGAAACTACAAGAGGAGCTGGAGCTGTGCAGCTTAATGAAACTGAAATATTTCAGAGACATTTCAAAGAAAAAAGAAAATCACTGAATGGCTATAATTGATTTAACAGTTTTTTCTATCATTGGTCTATTTTGACATTATTAATTAAATTATTTTATGAAATGCTAAACCGATGATATTGAATGGATTTACACAATTTTCACTTCTGTATAATGCTGAGCATCAGAAACTCAAACTCTAATCAGGTAGAAGCTTCTTTAATATAGAAAGTCGTCCCTGAGAGAAGTGAAAAGACATAAAGCTTTTGGATCAGGACACCACCAGGGCCTTGGCCTTTGTCTGTTTGTTGTTCTACATAATGTGAGTTAATGCTTCCTGGTTCCTCCACAGAGTGAACCAGCAGAACTCAGAGGTTCCCAGTGCTCCATCTGCCCAGCAGCATCAAACCCAGCTGGACTCCATATTTATGGTCTGTACATGAACTACAACTACTTCTCCATGGGTTCTGTTCACAGTCATCTCCATGCTGCACTTTGTAGACCAGAGGACTGTCAGTCTGTCCAACTTGGATCTGATGTTTAGCTCCATGATCTCAGTCTGATGTGTCCTTCACTTATCGTTCTGTTCAGCTGCTGGAGGAAAACATTGTTAATTTTGTGAAGAACGAGCTGAAGAAGATCCAGAAGCTTTTGAGTCCAGATTATCCAGAAGCTCAAAGGGAAGATGAGGAGCAGTTGGAAGGTGAGGATGAAGAGCAGAGGAGAAGTAGAGAGGCTTTAGTGAAGATCACCCTGAGCTTCCTGAGGAGGATGAAGCAGGAGGAGCTGGCTGATCGTCTGCAGAGCAGTAAGAGGATGTCTATAAAGATTTAACCTGATGGATAAATTACTAATTTATCCAGTAAGAACAGAAAATTAGTTGAAAGGAATTATTTAAATGCTAACAATACACTTTCATCTTTCAGAGCTTTTTGCCTCTGTTTGTCAACTTAAATCCAGTCTGAAGAAGAGGTTCCAGTCTGTGTATGAGGGGATCGCTGAAGCAGGAAGTCCAGCGCTTCTGAACCAGATTTACACAGAGCTCTACATCACAGAGGGGGGGACTGGGGGGGTCAATGATGAACATGAGGTCAGACAGATTGAAACAGCATCCAGGAAACCAACCAGACCAGAAACAACAATCAGACAAGAAGACATCTTTAAAGTCCCACCTGGAAGAGATCAGCCAATCAGAACAGTGATGACTAAGGGAGTGGCTGGCATTGGGAAAACAGTCTTAACACAGAAGTTCACTCTGGACTGGGCTGAAGGCAAAGCCCACCAGAACATCCAGTTCATATTTCCATTCACCTTCAGAGAGCTGAATGTGCTGAAAGAGAAAAAGTTCAGCTTGGTGGAACTTGTTCATCACTTCTTCACTGAAACCAAAGGAATCTGCAGCTTTGATAACTTCCAGGTTCTGTTCATCTTTGATGGTCTGGATGAGAGTCGACTTCCTCTGGACTTCCAGAACAAGGAGATCCTGACTGATGTTACAGAGTCCACCTCAGTGGATGTTCTGCTGACAAACCTCATCAGAGGGAAACTCCTTCCCTCTGCTCTCCTCTGGATAACCACACGGCCTGCAGCAGCCAATCAGATACCTCCTGAGTGTGTTGGCATGGTGACAGAGGTCAGAGGGTTCAATGACCCACAGAAGGAGGAGTACTTCAGGAAGAGATTCAGAGATGAGGAGCAGGCCAGCAGGATCATCTCCCACATCAATAGATCTAGAAGCATCCAGATAATGTGCCATGTTCCAGTCTTCTGCTGGATCACTGCTACGGTTCTGGAGGATTTGTTGGAGACTAGAGAGGGAGAAGAGCTGCCCAACACCCTGACTGAGATGTACATCCACTTCCTGGAGGTTCAGACCAAAGTTAAGAAGGTCAAGTATGATGGAGGAGCTGAGACATATCCACACTGGAGTCCAGAGAGCAGGAAGATGATTGAGTCTCTGGGAAAACTGGCTTTCAATCAGCTGCAGAAAGGAAACCTGATCTTCTATGAATCAGACCTGACAGAGTGTGGCATCGATATCGGAGCAGCCTCAGTTTACTCTGGAGTGTTCACACAGATCTTTAGAGAGGAGAGAGGGCTGTACCAGAACCAGGACAAGGTGTTCTGCTTCGTCCATCTGAGTGTTCAGGAGTTTCTGGCTGCTCTTCATGTCAAACTGACCTTCATCACACGTGGAATAAACCTGATGGAAGAAAAACAAGAAAAGAAAACTTTTTTATCTAAATTTCTCAAGACAGTAAAACTAAGAGGTCTCAATCAGAGTGCTGTGGACAAGGCCTTACAGAGTCCAAATGGACACCTGGACTTGTTCCTCCGCTTCCTCCTGGGTCTTTCACTGCAGACCAATCAGATACTCCTACAAGGTCTGATGACAGTGACAGGAAATAGCTCACTGACCAATCAGGAAACAGTTCAATACATCAAAAAGAAGATCAATAAGAATCTGTCTGCAGAGAAGAGCATCAACCTGTTCCACTGTCTGAATGAACTGAATGATCGTTCTCTGGTCCAGGAGATCCAACAGTCTCTGAGATCAGGAAGTCTCTCCATGAATAAACTGTCTCCTGCTCAGTGGTCAGCTCTGGCCTTTATCTTAGTGACATCAGGAGACGATCTGGATGTGTTTGACCTGAAGAAATACTGTGCTTCAGAGGAGGCTCTTCTCAGGCTGCTGCCAGTGGTCAAAGCTTCAAACAAAGCTCTGTGAGTACTGACAGAATTTGGGTTTTCCTGGTAAAAAAAAAGGAAAGAGAACTATTATCCTGGTAAAACTAATGTTTAGTTATCAGCTTTATAAAAATACCTTTTATTGAAATAGTCGCTAGTCAAGAGGATTTACAGAATAAGATTTAGCTAAGAGACCGGAAAAAGAAGCACAAAATTTCTCTTATCAACGTGGAAAATACTTACTTATTTGTTTCTTTTATTTTTGTAAATCATGAATTATGTGTCATGATGGGTTCTCAAATGGAGACCCAATTATGCAGAACACCACTTTGACGGACACAGGGATGAAAGTTTAACACGTTTATTATGCACAACACACAGAATGTACTGAAGACAGGTTCGGGCCTGGGTTCTGGTTTCACCGGAGTCTGCGTGAGAGACAGAGCGGTTAAGGACTGCTGACAGGATTTGATTTCCAAGTGAGCTCTGATTGTACCTTGAGGGTTCTTGAGGTTCTCTTTGGGGAGAGTCACTGTTGGTTCTGGAGAGGTGTTTATCAGCAGAGTCCGTTTGCTGCTTCAGCGTCTCACGTCTAGCTTGAACAGACCTTAGCTTTGGTTTCCCAGCTCTGGTCCAGAGCTGCTTGGAGGTTCTCAGAGAATCTTCAGGGTTTGGCTCAGAGGGTCGGCTCGGCAGGTTAGCTCTTCCTGAGCTTTCACGGAGGAGACACGGGTTTCCTGGAAACACAGAGATAGTGGTTAGAATCCAACCTGGATTCAAAGTCATGGAGATACTCAAAGATCTAGGCTTTAGCGCTGACCAACTGGAACAACACTCCGGCGTTGAGGCAAGGTCTGAAGACAGCTTATGTAGTGGATCCTCTGATGATCTTGACGAGCTGCAGCTGTGCAGGAGGCTCCCTCAGAGGATCCACGGCGGACTCTGCTGGAGAAAGATGGGATTTCTCCAGCTCCCAACATTATGTTCATCCTCGCTAGACCTAGAAACAGAAATTCAGTCACACATATAAGCTTTTAAGTAAGAAATTTCATGTCATCTTAATATTATATCCCAGCTTTTTTTATTATAAATGTGCTGAAGGTATGCCTTATCAATCTTTCAGAGAGCTTCAAACAGACTTGATAAAAAAGGTGCACAAGGTGTTAAAGTAATGTGTAAAAGTATTGTGTTAAAATAAATAATTGGTCACATTAATTGTCCAATGAGTGCATGTTGAAACATAAAAAGTAATATTTCTCAGATTTTTTTCCTAACTTCCATCATGTTCTTGCCGATGACCTTAGAAGGATCAAAGACTTGGACGTAGAGTTAGAGTCATACTTTTAGCAGCAGGTAGAGCAGATAGTCAGGTTACTTTATTGTGCTGTGTTAATTATCTAACCCAGAAAACACATTACTTTTGCAGGTTAAATACAGGGGAGATATTTTTGGGACTAAAAAATGTGTTATTGGAGAAACAGGGAGTACATTTACCATATTTCAGAGGAAGACAAGAATGCTTTGCTCCAAACAACCTGACTCACACTGTTTTCCTTAATGGTAAACTGGATAAAAAACAAACAAATAAATGATATAATAATAATAAAAGGGTTTTAAAAGTAACTAGAGAGACATATTTTTGATGAACTGGACTCTCTCTCCTCCTAAAAGATGTACTACAGCAATATACACCGAATGCCCACCCGACTAATCAATAAAGAGAATGTTTTTGTCCTGATACAGAGCTGAGCTTCTAGATCAAATCTAATGTTGTGAATCGTGGGGTATTCAGTTCCTACTTTATCATGAATTTAAACATTTTATCATCATATTACAATGACATGGGTCACTTATCCAACAAGTTGTTTTTTAGATCACCTACATACATGGCTCTTAACACTAGATGTCCCGGAGAATTCCAGTTTTCCTGCAAGCCCCCCTCCCCTCTTCAAGTGTATTCTTGCTAACTGTCCTTGTTGTAATGCAAATAACCTGTGATGTGACCAGTCCTTCTACAGGAGACTGGATAAAGGCTGAAACAAACTGGCATCAGAACCAGAGCATGCTCCAAACACCTTTCATTACCTTCCCCTGCAACATCAGACCTTTTTGCAGGAATATCTTGATAAGTCATATCTAAATCTTTACCAGATATCATACGGGTCCTAGTTCCTGAGCTGAGAACACGTCATAACCAGCTTTTCCAACAAGGCATTATATTGTCCATTCACCAACAGACTCATTTATATTGCAAAGCTCACTATGTGAAAGAAACATTGAGAATAATTGTATTTTGCCTGTTCTCACCTTTTCATGTCATTCAACATTTCAGCTTAGAGAATGACAAACAGTATGATTTCAGTGTAGAACTAACATTTATTTCACCCAAGGAAAAGCACAACATACGAAACTACAATTGTCCCATTTAGCAGTTTTTACAAACCCAAGGTGAGTCCCTTCTGCATGTGTGACAGGTATACTTTGTGCAGTGCACACAACGCTCAGTGCTGTGGTTCATGTTGCAGAGATTGCACACCTGGTCTGCTTATAATAACAATAAAAAAATCTTTAAAAAATAGAGTTTAGCACATTTTCCCAAAGTAAGAGTTGTAGTGTGAACTAGATAAGGTTATCTATGTGTGCTACAAGTTTTGTGGCCCTACAATGATCTATAGTGTAATTATTGGCTATTATATGCTTATAATAACAATAAATAAATCTGTAAAAATACAGTTTGGCCTATCTTCCCAAAGTAAGAGCTGTAGTCTGATCCAGATGAGGTTATCTGTGTATCCTACAAGTTTGGAGGCAGTACAGTGATCTATAGTGTAGTCATTGCTAATTTTATACTTATTCTAATAATAAAATAGTGGTGTCATTTAGGCTTTTGGAAATTCCTCAGAAAAGTATTATTTTCGAATCCAATAAATGTGATAATAATCCACCTCTCCTTGGTGACGCTTCGAATATTTCTCTCTGATTATTTGAGATTTTTGGAGCATCGAGCTCCCCATAGGGTCCAATGTAATTCTCCCAGCGCGATAGGATACTCGTTTTGAGGAAACTACAGTTGTAGTTTACTGTCTGCCTTGCTCTGGTTGAAGAGAAGAGTCTGTTTTGTATAATAAATCATCCGCTGATGAGTTATTAATCCCGAAAAGCCGAATCTGTGATTATATTGCCAACTTTACTGCAGTCTCACAATGCTGTCTACATGTCTGCAGCGGAGGACAGAGAGAGGAGAGATATATTTTCCCCCCAAATAAATAATGTTCATTATTGTATAAGTATTGTTGCTTTCTACAGCGTTCCAGCTCATGCAGCTATTTTCATTGTACAGATCAGTTATCGTCTGATCGTTGCGCTGGTGGCTCCGCTGAAATCATTGCAATGTTGGTGACACTGATGACATAGGCCTAATTATATTTAATCACAAATATGATTTTTTCCCACCCTGCTCTCAGGTAAAACACTCTCAAAGAGAGAGACTTTAGCTGAAACCGAAACTGAAGGGGGTGGAATGGTTCTCCAGCCACAGCACTAATGGGGCATTTACATCTGAAAAGGAATTCACGAGTTGTGAAGTACTGCGAGGAGATTGAAGGCTCACAAGAATTTTCATATCTGGGTTTTCTAGGGTTAAGAAGTTCAAATACAGTAATTTTATTTTTTGCTAATTTAGAACCTGTTGAAATAACTGATGGTTTATTTGTATTTTTTTCTCTTTTGATAGATATTATTTTCAGTTTAATACCGCCTTAATGCTGGACTAAGTATTCCCGATTTAGAATTCATTCTTTCTCAGACTAATATTTTTCCATTTAAACCCTGTTTGTAAAGACAACATTTCTGGTTTATTTAGGTCATTTTATCTAATTTGACCTAAACTACATTAAGTCACTTTACCAAGTCTTCTAAAAATAGAAACCTCTAAGGTGTCCATGGAGATCACTATGGACAGAGAGTGAGAGCTCACTGTTGAGTTAGAGGAGAGATATGACTAGATGAGAATAATGATGGACTGACTGCAACAGAGGTCCTGAGCGAAGTGAGTTCAATGGAAAGCTTTTTCAGTACATTAAAATGGGACATAGCATCCTAAAGAAGCACCATAGAGAGCGTTCTGAGCAGCTGTCTCACTGTGTGGTGTGGAGGCTGCAGCGCCTCAGACTGGAAGAAGGTGAGAACAGCAGAGAGGATAATGAGGGCTCCTTTTCCCTCCATTAAAGACATTTCATCCCAGCGCTGCATGTCCCGAGTCCGTAACATCATCAATGACCCCTCACCCCCCCACCATGGACTGTTCTCCCTGCTGCCCTCTGGGAAGAGGCTTCACAGCATCCAATGCAGGTCCAGCTGACTCCAGAAAAGTTTATTCCTTCCTTTCTGCAGAGGTATTTAAAATCTCTTTTGATTAGAGATTTTTCCAGCAGTTTTTACAGCTGGAGTCTAGGCTTGTTGAATATTATAATATGGCTATTTCATATTTTTCAGAGGTTAAATAAATACAACAATAATTAAATTTCAGTTTTTGACTGTATGATCTGGTTGAACTGTAAAGTGCCTTGAGATGACGTGTTGTGAATTTGGCGCTATATAAATAAACTGAATTGAATTGAATTAAACACAAATACATTTTAGGTTAAGATTGTACTGGGTTGTTGTATAAGTAATTCTCCACCAGATGGCATAGGTGCTATATGTCAGCCATAGTTGTTTTTTTTTTTCCTGTTTTCTGACCAGCGAAGAAGTTGTGTTTTTCTAGAAATGTGGCTCTGTTAGAAAACCTGGGCTGCATCCTCCAAGGACGCGGTCTACCCAGACTGGATCCTTCGAAGTCCTTGAAAATAAGGAGACTGGAAGAGTTCTGGCTGTGAATTCGACCAGGTCTACCCTTCGGCGGGTTTTACCGCTGTATGCTCCGTTGCTTAGCAACCATGAAAGTTGACACACAAAGCAGGAAAAGAATGAATACCAAAGTTTTCAAAACTGTTTGTTTATTTATTTATTTTTTATTGTAAAGTGAACAAAGACTA